GGGCGACAAGGAAAGACCAGAAAATTCTTGCAGCTGTATTTTACCTTCCCGGTTAGTACACAAATATAGGAAACGTGTAAGGTAAAATGTTATTTCGCATTCGAAATCAATTCAGTTTTGAGTAATCCAATCAATTTCCAATTACGCCCACAGTTTAGTAAATTAATTACGCAAAAATCTCGTAAAGTAAAGCGTTCTCGCGTTGTTTTAATTAAATCGCAAACGAACGAGCTTACACGCTCAGCAATCATACCATAAATCATGAATACTTACATACCTACATACTTACGTACGTATACACATACCTATATTAGCACAATACGTACTAGAGTATATACATAGCTAGTTGATACGCATTTGTAACGAAATGCATGCTTTTGATCTTGCAGCTCTTTGCAGCTCTTCTCGCATCGAGCCGCGGCTGGCTTACGTGCTAACATGTCGAACGTGCCACAATTACAAGATGCTGCTGCGCATTCATTGCCATAATCGACAATTGTCATCATCCATTTCGCATCAATGGTTTCAAGCTTTTTTATTTTCATTCCACGATCATCGATACAAGCGGCCGGCCTTCAGTTGGCTGCTCGTGAAGTTCAATAATACGATTTTGATATGTCGGGAATTTCTCACAGACGCACAGAAATGCAATAAATTTTTACTCAATTGTGTAAAGAGTTCGTTTGTACTATATATTTTTATTACTGAGTTTTAAAGAAATAAATGCTGAATGTGGCTGTGGTTAAATAGCGAAACTTCAACTTTACTTCATAAAGAAGTTTGTTGCTTAAGTCTTTTGTATTCAAGCGCTTTTCAAATTCACTCGAAAAGAAATCGTTCGTTTGTTGTGGGGAAAATCGCCTTGAAGTCGTAATTAAATCAAAATTGCTTACGCATCTTAAGCAGAATGCATTCTGCCGATAATTACGGTGCGGGTGAAACGCAAAAATTCACACACTAACTCGTTCTTTCAAAGTAAAACAATAAATAAGGCAGAGTCTTTTGCTCCATTCGCGCTCAATGCATTCTTGTTGCTTGCATATCTTTCGTTTGTTATTTAGTATTACTTTTTACGTCTTCTCTTGGTGGTAGTTGCGTGATATCATTTGTTCGCTGGCGGATTAACACATCATTTACTAATGAGTTCATTATACCCGCGAATGAAATCGAAAGCTATTTGCTTTGTATTCGCGACGAAGTCGTGTTTTTCCTCATCATGCCACAATTTTGCCTTTGTTTTTTGGTTTGTTTATCGTTTCTTTTTGTTCTATGTAGTGCTGCAATTAATTTTATTTTTATTGTGTTTTTCCCCAAAGCAATTTTTCCTAAAATTCAATCTTAGATGAGCGAAGACGAAACAATGTTGCCTTGTTAAGAGCTGGTGATTTTTTAACTGCCGGCAAATAGTTTCGTATGGCCGTGAGAAAATTTACATACATATACACTTGTACGATCATTTATTAAGCAATAAGCGCCAGCAGTGTTGCTTAGGTTGTTAGCAGTCAATTGGTGGTTGGACAACCAACAGCGAAACTGTGAACGCCTTAAGCATCGCATTGACAACGGCGCAAATGTGATTCTGAATTCAATTCAGTGTTTTAGAGCTCCAATGTATGGTGAGGTGAGAAATTTGAGACATTGTCATAACTATTTTCAATATCACGCGCTGTCATAAATAGATGGATGAGTTAGTAAAACTCTTCCGCATCTTTTACATGTTTGCAACACTTATTTTCATAATATCATTACATATTTATTATGATTAATAAAATGATACTACTCAAACTAATTGCCTGTTAAAATGAGTGAATAATTATTTATTTTTTTTGGCCGGACTGTTCTTTTACACAATTATGGTCTGAATCCCAGCTAAAGCGATCGACTAGATTTTTTTTTATGCTTTTTGGTTGTCAGTGTGAATTTATAAGAATGGTTTATTTGCCTTGAATTTGTCAAAGCCTTATTTAGTCTACAGTACAGGAACTTGATATTTCTTCAGAGTCTTGCTTTTTCACCTTATCGGGGATTAGAATAGTTGGAGAGTAGACCTATTCACACTTAGGCCCATTGTAATGCCATATGGAGTTACCGATTTATGACTTAGGTATAATACATTTTGTTGACCTATGAACTTTGCCAAATCAGTATTTTCACCTGTGAGATGAATTTTCTTCTTCCTCGATGTTCCTACAACTATTAAAATAGTTCCTAGACTCGTGTTGTGTACGCTAATAACTGCCATACCTAAATAAAAGCCTTGGGCGGAGCGTTTTCTGATGCCTAGCGGCAACAACAAGCATGGGTTTGTTTGTGTTAAATACGAAAGTGACAGTTTCGCCGTTTTCTGCAGCCAACTTCACTTCCTAACGCCCTATCAAAATCGCATTCTTCAACCGCTCAGAGTTGACGCCGCGTTTTTTTGGTATGCTTCATAGAAATTGTATGGACATGAGAATTTTTTTGACAGACAGACAACGCTGCCGCTTTTGTTTCGGTATGGCAGTTAGGTAGTGGTCCGTAAGAGTCCTTAGAAGGAAGGACACTTCTCCTCAATTTAAACTTAAGCGGAACATTGCTCGTTTCTTGATAAGGGGTAGCGAGGTAATCCTCAAGCTGTTTGGGGACATATTCGCCATTCTGGGAACCCGATGTGCACTTATGAGTAAATTACCAGTCGAAGAAGTCTAGCTTTATCATAAAGAAAATAAAAATTAGTCCTATTTACTATGTTGCTATAAATGTGACAGTTTGTGATTTAGTATGTTTGTTGCTTAATAACTTAAAAAAAAATATTACAACAGTGTAGATATGTATGAAACGAACGGAGTGCGGAAGCGATTTATTAGAAATTTTTTTGAAGAAGGCTGCCACCTCTTTAAAAGTTAAGTCCCATAAGTTAAATAAAGCATTACAAAATGGATGCCAATCGAAAGAGGTATAAGAAAGCTTTGTTTCGAAAATATTTTTAAAGAGGGTTGCCATATGTTAAAAATCAAAATTTTATGTTATTAGTAAGTGAAATAAAACATTACGAAATGTTTTAAATTCAAACCAGATATGCTTAAGAAGGCTTTATTCCGATTTTTTTTAAATATTTGGCACCTATTAATTTAAAAATTTATGTATTGTCAAGTTGAAAAATGAAAGATTTTGTTTTGTATTGAAATGTCCAATTTAGTTTAAATTCGACACATGTTTGGGAACTTCGCTACAATAAGCACCTTATTTCAATAAAATGTATTATTTTTGGTGTTAAAATTTTTTATTTTTTTTTTGCATTTGAAATCACAAAGTTAATCCGAACTAAACACGGGCGAAGCTAGTTTAAACACAAAATCATGTAGCAAGTCCCACCTCAATGATTTTCCAAGTGATTACGCCAATGATTATACGCACTTACATGCAGCTACACGTGAGATGATTCTCCTACTCTACCTTTATGTTAATTTCAAGTGTTAGATGTCAATCAATCGCTTAATTATAACGTTTGTGCGCCATGCACCGATGATCCACTGCCAAAGCAATTGACAACAGCAGGCGCAATGTTTTTTAAGTGCAACAATAAATACTCAATTTCTGCACTCAGAGTAGTGTCAAACATCTAGGGATGCAAACGATGCATCGATATTTTTGAAACATCGATAATATCGGTTCAAAATTCGATGTTTGCCATCGATGTTTACAATTTCCTAAAATCGCTAAATTGACGATACATCGATGCCAGTTTCAGCGATGTTTTAACATCGAATTATGCTCCTAAAATTTTTTGACTGGCCATGAATTTTTATATATTTTTCTTTTAAAAGGAACATTCAGAAATTCCGAGTTTACTCTTATCTTTCGATATTAAAAATGCATACTTAGTCATTAAAAAAGGACCGGGATCCCGTTGAAATTTCAATGAAATTGGGCCTTGGAACTTTAGGCCCTGCGAACTTATGACGGCATGCATTTCTATTCTATTTATAGGGAGGGAATGGTAAATAAATAAGGCAATAATTGAATTACGGAGAGTTCGAATTGAAAAGTATTAAATTTTCCTAACAAATCTCGAAACATCGGAAACCATCGATATATCGATGTTTTTCTGGCGATGTATTTTAAAAATCGATGTTCATTTTTCCGATGCATCGAAACATCGATGTATCGATGTTACTCCCCAAAATTTGCATCCCTACAAACATCATCGATGTTAACGCCACCGCAGTCACCGCTAAGGGCAAATCAGTGGCTGACGCTGCAATCGCCACAATTCAGTTGCCATTGCCATTGCGCTTTTCATTTATTTACTTTACTTTATTTAGTTTTTGTTTCAAAATATTTCAAACACCTTTAATTGTAAATATGTATGTAGTTTGGTGGTCGATTGCAGTTGGCGCTGCTTGGCATTGATGCATGTTGCAACACATTCAAGTGGCGGCAGGTTGCGCAGATTATGTCTGAGTGTGAAGTGTCAACTCCCACACCACATCAAATCGCCATGCAGCAGACAGTTTGCGTGGTGCTGAACACTTTGAAAAATGGTTAATAGGAATCGAATTATGCGCCGCCAGTAGCTGACAATTGAATTCTTGTTTGTTGCTAAAAGTTGGTAATTCATTTAATTGAAATGGGTTTGTTGTGGTGTTGTTGTTGTTACATGAAAACATTCAACTTCATGTATGCGTGTGTGTGTGTGTGTGTGCATGCAACTTCATAATAGGAATTATTTTTCTTTACTACTTTACTACTTAAATGCATATTATCACTTATGCATTTCCCCTGAGTTCCTCAAAGTTAGGCGCCAAGCGATGTGGATATTCACAGATGAAGCTGTGAATCTACAGAAAGAAATAAACAAAAGGTAAACAAATTTAAATCCACTTGCTAAGCGACAGTGTTAAGACTATGCTATGTATTTACAATGGCTGCCATTCTAATTGAAGGCCACCAACGGCATTGGTTCATTAAAAGTTCGTACATTTCAAAACATTCGGCTACCACAATTACAATGCAGTTTCTAAAATAACACCTCTCAACTATTTTATTTGTAAATTCCGTTTGATTTTCTTTGCTACTTTTAATGTATAAAACAAAATACTATTTGGTTCTTCGTCTACCAGTGCACACAATGGCATCACAGAGCAACCTCATCCACGCGCATCCTCGCTTTATTTGGAATGTTATTCTTGAAAGTGTTCTAAAAGAGTTCCTACATATTAGCATCGCTAGTCGTATTTAGTCAGGCAATTAAACTCACTGTTGGCTTAATGTATTCTTCATCGTTCTGCACATATTTCCTTATACACGGCGTCAGTAGAGCAGTGTCCACCTTCTTGGGGTCGTTTGCACCCGCTATGCTCGAGTACAAAATAGCTATGAAAATTGTGATCAAAGCACCCAGGCAAGTGAACCACATGTACGAGATTCGATAAAGTGGGAATATTTCTCTTCAAATACAAAAAAAAAAACACCAATAAGTTTATTGATTTCTAGATGCTTAAAATATATTTACTCCGCCGCCGCGTTTGAGTCCGTCAAATTATAGCTGCTTTGTGCCAAGGTCGTTCGATCGAAGTGATAATCGCATTGGTCAACGGTGATCTGCTTAGTCTGATATTTAATAGCGCCGGAGGCTATAGCCCATTGCGCCTTCAAGCTAATCCATGACATGGCAATAACACCCACAACGCCACCAGTCAGAGCGCTCTTTGAAAACAAAAAAAAAATTAATAGAACGGCTTTTAGCAATTATATTCCCCAACAACAACATCACTCACATTGCCGCCAATCCATGGCATGAAAATGCCAATGGTGAATATGCCAAAAAGAGGGCCATTAGTGATAGCTTCCAGACTCATGGTCAGCTGCAACACGGTACCCATGTGCTCGACCACATAAACCAGGCAAACGCACAGTGCACCCATTCCGACCACCACCGAACGCATGATCCAATTTATCGCCGACTCAGACAACGGACGCTTCACAAAAGGCTTCACGAAGTCCTCCAGCACCACAGCCGACATGGAATTCAAGCAGGTGGACAGCGAACTTAAAGCAGCGCTAAAAACTCCAGCGACGAAGAGACCAGTGAGTCCAGGATAGTCACCCAGTGTGTCCATAACGAAGAGCGGTAAGAGTTGATCCCGCGCTTTCGCCAGCTGCAGGCAGATACATACGATTACATGTAGTAAAGGTGTAACTAAAGTAAATGGTGACCTACCTTCGTGGTCAGTGGATCACAGTTCTTGTATGTGGCGTAAATTAGTAAACCGTTGTAGCCACAGAGCGCCATCATAATCAGCACACCGAAACAAAAGATGAAGAGAGCAATGCGTGCCGCTCGCAATGTGGGCAACGCGAGGTAACGCTGTATCATATTCTGCGAAACGGCGTTGGTCTGGGTCCAATAGAAGACGCCACCGATCAGCTGGGACCAGAGCGTGTGCCGCACAGTGGGGTTTATGCTCAAACTGTGCAAGCAGAGTTATTCTTCTCTTTCTAGTTCGTCTAAGTTAAGTGCTTCACGCTAATCAAACTTACTCTGGCCTCTCAATGCGATCCGTATCCCAGGCGTTCCGGAGCACCACACCTGCGCCACCAATATCGTGGCTTCCTTTGACAGCAACCAGTATTAGTGCGCCCACCATGGAAATCGTTTGCACCACATCCGTCCAGACAACTGCGCGAATGCCACCCTACAAAGAGAGAGAGTTGGCTTTAAGTTTCATAAACGAAATTTCACTTAGCGAATTTACTCACCAAGCTGGTGTAGAAGATGCAGATAATGCAGACAATGGGTGTGATGGTGTGTACAGCTACGCCGGTCACTTGATTGAAGGCCAATGCGGGCACATAAATTACGATCGGCAGATATGCCACCTGTGAAGGCAAATGCGTTAGTCCACATAATTTTTAATATAAGGGCACTTGAATGCCTATGCAGCTTACATTCATAATTGCAAACATTACGGATCCATACATGCGAAGACGCCGATCGAAACGACTTTCTAAATACTAGAAAATAGACAAAAGGTACAGATATGTGTATTGGTTTGATATAATATTCATATGTATTAATAAATAATGAGTATAAATACTATGAAAGAATATCATAAAAAATTTAGTTATTGCGGGCGTTCTCTTAAATTTAATTTATGCTCCGTTACCGTTTACCTTTCCATTTAACATACACAATGCAAGTCCAAAAGAATTATAAAATTTCATACAAATTAAAAATATAATATTTTCACTTAACACGGTGTTACCAATATGATGGAACACCTTGTATTTAGGACATTTTTTCAATAACAACATCTATATTTGTATATGGCAAATTATTTTCTGCTCAATAACCTTCAAAAGGTTTCATTAGGCGGAACGTTCTTGTCAATTGCGCGCACAGAAACGGTGGTCACAGGGGAAAATTATGATTCCCAGTCCTGGTCTCGATAGCTTGGCGGATATAGACAGCCTCTTCAATTAGACAGTATTGTTTATAGTTACAACTACTCCAGAAGTAATTATACGGGGCTCACAACTCCGTCAATAGTCGCGTTAATATTTATTTCAGTTGTTTCCAGGTGTCCAGTGTGATCGCGATATCGTGAATGTGACCAGATTAACTCACCACTTACTTCTCACTTTTCGTTTTCGTTTATTCACTTTATTCCTACATATCACTCTGTTGAGTCCTATCTCCGAGATTTTAATCGGGCGAGAGTGGTCTCCATTCTTTCCCGAAACATCGCTAAATCAGTAAGAAAATTGCGCTAATCTTCTATCCACCTACATCCATTCGTATTATTTACCGCTCTTGTTATCGATATTACTTTCCATAGGCTCATCGATATTGAATTGATATTTTTATCGATATTTTATTGATTTTGTTATCGATATTTTTACCGTTTTTATTTGCGAAATTTTTTCGATATTTTTACTGACTTTGTTATCGATATTTGTATCGATTATTTTATCGATATTTTTATCGGTAGGTATAAGCTTATAAGATTATATTAACTAGCCTGTCATTTTATTCACAATTTTGAACCAATGCAACGTATACACACATACATATGCCTCCCCTGTAGGGAAAACACAAACTAGTGAACCAAATTTCTAGTTCAGTACTAGTTCTTTATCGTCCAAAACGAACCAGTCTGATAGTAACTAGTTCAGCACCAGTCCAAAAGAAGCGAAAGGTGATACTTTCACTGAACTATTTTATTTTAAATTTTAAAAGCCGGTACGCTAATCATTATGAGTAAAATAACTTAAATCAGCATTTAATCATTATTTTATGAATTATTATTGAGTTTTATTTTTTCGCTCCAACGGAAATAATTACTATTTGATTTTTATTTTTTTTCGATTACAAATAATGCTCCGTTAGCGATTTGGAGAACAATTTTACCAATCGAAGCTCCGTTTTGATGTCAGCTTTGGCAGAGCAGAAAGTCGTTATGACAAAAACTAGATCACATCTGTCGAATTTAGAACTGGTTCGGAACTAGAGCTAATGGGATGCAACGGGGGACAACTGACACATCCTAGGACATCGCAATGTTAAATTCGCCAGTCGCTAGCACGCAAAAGAGAATTAACGGGTACTAGTCATGGTTCCATACGCACTAGAACCGAACCAGTTCCGCACTACATAGTTCGTTTCCCTACAGGGTCCAAATTATATTATGCTAAGTCTGACAAAGTCTAAGGTGACTTAGCATGGTATGGTTTGGACGTGTCGATATGTACATATATTGTTTATAAGACAAACTAGATATGTAACGTAAGTTTCACTTCTCCAGTGAACATATATTTAGTATTCATACTCTGCCATACCAATTTACTTATCGCATGAATGAAAAAGTCCCACGTGCTACGCTTAAGACATCTATTCAATACAAAAGCAACAAGCAGTCAGCAAGCTGCTGCGATTTTCATTCATTAACCGACAAAAGCACAATTAACATACATAGCATACACATACCCATATACATACAAATATGCACTTAAGTAATAGTAGGTGGTACTATTACACATTTCACTATTTACTATGACGTACTCACTTACACAATATTTGCTTAGAAGCTATTTTAATTAATGGCCATTAACTAATCTAATTGAATGGGCTTTGGTTTTGATTGAGTGCGAATGCTGTATCTCTATTCGCTGTGTGTGCTTACGTACAAGAATTTACGTATATATCTACATACACACCATCATTAAATGATTATGCATTCAAAAATTTATTTACCAAGACAATTCGTTTATTACTACGAGTAGATAAATATTTGCGTTATTATTCAACTTAGAGCACCTACCTCATATGTCGATGTAATGTTCAACTGATGAAATACGGGCAGATAAAATACGCCCATCACCACTCCCATAGCTATTACACCGAGCGAGACGTACAAGTACTGAATGCCATAGGAGTAGACTTCCGTCGGCAGGCCCAGCAAAGTGATACCGGAAATGAAACTGGCCACCAGCGAGAGCGCAATGGGCAGTATAAGCATATTTCGTCCACCCATTAGGTAGTCGGACTCCGAAAGGCTGCGATTCAGGAAGCCAAAATAGATGCCAATCACTATGCAGATCACAAACATGGCAATGAAGACGCCATAGTCGGGCCATGAGAAGCGCTGCAACTTTGCGATAATGTCATCTATGTCTGTCATTTTGTTGGTTGCTGCTCACTGCTTCCGTTTCAAATGAAAAGAGTTCGATAAAGGGTCCACTGCACCACGGTTGAGTCCGTTTTCCGGCGCCAGGCGATTGAATGTTGGGTTTTTACTCCGCGCGGTTCCCGTTTTAGTAGAAATTTTTCCTAATTTTATAGTTTATTAATTTTTTTCACTTCAAGAGTGGGGCATAGCGCATCCTACATCTAAGCGCGCTAATCCGCGTTTGTCTGCATATTTCAAAAATTGTAAGCTCACTGAGATTTCCAGAAGCACACTCTCTATAATTTAGGCATCACTTAACGGATATTTTTATGTTTGTGTGTATGGCCTTACAGTGGACTCCTGTTCATGCGGCATCAAGAGAGATTTTGATTAAAAAAAAAAAAAGAAAAAACGTTCTGATTCTCACTAACACAATTACGGAGTTGCATTCGTTGGAGGGCGCTAATAAATGCCACACCAAAGCCGATGAGGTGTAGGATAGCTTCCCAGTGCATTGACTGAGCGCTGCTCATATAATGAAAGCCGCTGTCACCAACAATCACAGAGTTATGCTTTTAAGTTGTGGGGTGGTGAGATTTTTTATTTTTTCTGACTAATTTAATATGCGCCATATATTTACCACTTAAACGGACAGTGGTGGCTCAAGGGGGAGTTGGATAAAAAAAAAAACGAACGAAATTTCTAATTTAAACGCAACCAGATTTTGGTGTTGCAAAGCGGTTTTCAGACACATATTTACATTATTTCTGCTGACTTTTATGTAGTTAAGTATATGTGTTTATTTCTAAAGACTTGCAGTTGGTATTTGAAACGAAATATTTTTTTATTGTTGACGTGGGTGATTCATCCCTTTGTGTTAAGCCAGCGCCAACTCTTCTCACTTCGAGACATTACTCCAAATTGTATCTCACAAAGGTTGAGAATCGACGCAGGCGTCTGGACCGTTTAATTCAATCAGTAGGTAATTTGAACATCACAATTGGCTGAGCACCGAACTGGTTGGGTACACAATCTAATTTCGGATTTGAATACATATGTTTATATATTTGTATGTTTGTACATATGTATATGTAAATCTGTGCCAAACTCATACGTATCCCAAATAGTGAGTTGATGAGTTGATTTAGAGATGCTTTCTAATTCAAATAGCGGACGCCAAACCCTGTCGGAAATCGTGTACACAGGGCCTTCTTGTTGAAAACCAGCCAGCACTCGTGAATAGGGACAGAATATCGGCAGTTGAAAGTCAGTTTTATCGGATTTTTGAGGCACCCACACAAACTCGCCAAAGTTTGTCTTTATTCCATTCACACATAGGTAAAATCCACTGTACGGGAGACAGTCGTATTTGCAAATATTTATTAACAAGGCACTCGTTGGAATCAGTGGAGCGCGTCTTGCACTTAAAGTCAAGCGTCGGCGGTATCGAAGGTAAGGCTAAGCTGACACCAATGAGCTCTCTCTCTCTACCTTCTCATTCCCTCCAGGGATAAGTAAACGGGAGACGCTAGCTGGAAGAAGACACCTAAGACACGAATAGGTCGAAGCTAACCAACACGGTAAGTAGAAGGGTATTCTGCTGGAAGCTCAAATTTATGCTTCCAAATCACTGTGGTGCTTTAATTGGCTAATCAACTACTGAGTGTAGATAAAGGTCTTCTCTAGCTCACAGTGTGCTCAATGCTAGTAGGAGAATGCCTTACCTCTTTTTGAGTTGCAGCTGATCAAAGGCCATAGCGAAACTTCATGGCGGATGAGCTGGTGAGAAAAAGCTCACTCTAGTCGACTTTATCGCGAAAGAAGGGAATGGGAATACCTTTGTCTGCATGCGCACTACTTTTAAATAGAAAACAAAAACCAGAACCAGAACCAGAAATGCAAAGTGTTTTTGGCCGAGTTTGAAACGGCTGGCAATGGTACTTCTTGAGCTCACGCAGATTCTCAGGATCCTCACGGTCCCTATCGTCTAAAGACCGATTCGATGGAATTATTTTAGCACTTACTTGCCATGGATGGCACTTTCTAACCAGCCCTAGTAAATTCGCCGGGGCCGTTCCCACCACAATCGGGTGACCTAGATTTATGTTTACCAGGTCAAGGACTTTCCCTGCAGCAGCATTTCCAAAAACAAATTTTCTATGCTGCAACAATAACAACAGCTCCCGGTACCCGACATAACATTGCAATTACCGCTCGTAGTGATACCACAAAATACGGACAAAGTGTGGTCCTGTCTGGGGTACGCTCAACCTTACGTGACCTAAAACTAGCCGACTAGTCATTAATTAACGTTCTTTTGAAGATATATCCGACTAAGTATATATGGATATGTTATATATTTTGGTGCACTTGACAACACACAAATTACAAAACCCAAAAACAAAAAAAAAAGATTAGTTGTTCTATCTTCGCAGTGGGTTTGAAACAAATTCGTTCGTCTTCTTCGTACTTTCGAATGCGCTGCCCATTTACTTTTAATGACATAATTGGCGCGCGTCATTTTACTGCGGCGGTGAATGGGTGCAACGTTGACTTGCTGATTGATGTTAATTTGAAATGATTTGCATAAGTAATAAAATACATATTCCTTGAATAAATTGAACTAGATTAACGTTGCACTTGAATTTTATCCTTCACTTTGAAGGTGTAGAAAATTTTTAGTTTCGCTAATTCCCACTGTTGCCTAACGCAGCCAAAAGCATATGTATGTATGTACATAGCTACAGCGGTAAAAGTAAATTTTTTTCCAAATGCATGAATTACCAATAACGTTTGGTTTTAAAAAACACTTTTTCCCGAAATTTTGAATTTCTGTATTTCTCAAGATTTTCTTTCGCAATTTGAAAGCAAATTGTTATCCCGTTTCTTTGCCAAATTTTATGTTTTGCATTTCATTAAAAGAAAAAAAATATATATATATATTTTGCATTAATTTAAATTGCAATCCACCCGCGACATACATATAGAATTATGCATTTATGTCCGTGAATACCAGACCACCTAAGGCAACAAACGACTTGCCTTGCCGATCCGCAACTGAGCTAAGCGAGTGGCATTGCCAAGCAACCACAGATGACCCCACCCCCACCCACAGAAGGAAAATGTGCGCACACACACACAGACAATTGTTTGTCAAATAGGTTTTTCAAAAAATCACTACATTTCTCTCGAGCTAGTAGCGCATCCCCATTCATTGATGATCGTACATATACATATATATGTATATATGTTTGTGCATATGCAAGTATATAAATACATACCCTGCAGGGAAAATCTCTAGCTCTGAATCGGTTTTGCTTCTAGCAAATTTTGAAGCAGTTCTAATTCGCGATAAATCTCTTTTGCATGCAAACAACTGAATTTTGACAATTTTCGTTTGGTGTTTCCAAACTATGAAAAATCATCTGTGAAGTGCAAACAAACAAAAATTTATTTATAGTAAACAAGTGATGTAGTTCCGAACCAGTTTTAAATTCGTCATCTTAGATATAGATTTCCATTTATAAGTTTTTGTATTCTTTCGGACTTATCGCATTTTCTGTGACTATTTTGGTCTTAGAAAATCTGTTTATATCAGAATAGATATAGTTAGAAATAATAATAATAATAGTTTGCTCGTTTAGAAAACGATGCACCTTTTACTGATTTTTCTTCTCAAAAAATGTTTTTATAGAAAAAGTCTTAGAAACTTTTCAATTAGCAAGGATATGTAGTTTTAACAAGTAAGAAAGTCTAAGTTCGGGCGGAGCCGAACGTTAAATACCCGGCGCAAGTATTAAATATATGTTTTCCACCTTTCCGAAAGCTACCACTACATGATAAGCCGGGGTGTATACATTTTAAGTAAATTAGCGTCCTTAAATTTCGAAATATTGAAATTTCAAGCATTTTTGAAATTTACCGTTATATGAAAAGCGGCCTCAATTTTAGTCCGATTTCAACAATTTTCAAAGGTTTGCTTTTATGTGGCAAGCACAATAACCATACCGAGCTTGGTACAAATTGCTAGACCGGTTAGCGAGATACATATCACAAGTGGGCGGTGCTACACCCATTTTCCAAAATTTTGTCATAAACGTATTTCTTGGTAAAGAATTGTTGCAACCATCAATTTTGAATAAATTAGCTTCAATATTTACTGATTTATCGAAGATTTTGTATTTCTCGAAATTACCGTTATATGGGATGTGGGCGTGGTTATTGTCCGATTTTAGAAATTTTCGGCCATTTAGTATGTTGTATCAAGGCCAACAACTGTGCCAAGTTTGGAAGAAATTGGTGCAGCGGTTACCAAGATATACACATGTAACCATAAGTGGGCGTGGCTACGCCCATTT